ATAGCCCTGCCTGTCAGAAAACACTAACTCCCAAATGTCTCTACCCTCAGAACACCTCTTGTTACTGATTCAGACATTACTTTTCAGATAAAGACTTTAGGGCGAAAGACCTCTTTTCCCTCCAGATCAGCTGTTTTATTTCCTCTCTCAGCTGATGTTGACCAATCAGAGAGAGAGTAGAGTAGCCAATCACATAAACTCTTCTCTCCAGGGAAGATTAACTCTTGAACTCCCTGACTCTCTGACACAGCATTTTAAGAAGCCTGCTTTTCTTTGAAATCCGTCACACACCCACTTTTTCTTATCCACGGCATTGGCTGCATTGCAGCGTTTTCCAATAGGAATCTTTCCACCTTATCCTTTTGGGGTCATGCTGAGCTTTATTCTGCCCTTCAGACATTCCTTGTTCGGTCAGTACATGTGCCACTCACCACTGAAACCAGTACGGCCAGATTATTTTTTTGGAATCACCTCAGAAGAAGACTAGCCATTACTGTGAATGTTGCTGGTAAGCTGTTATCAAAGAGGGCTGCTAGTAGCTGGGGCAAGCTGGACCAAGAGGCCTTTCTTCAGCCCTTTATGGACCTTACTGGACCTTACAAATGCAGTATTTGCAGCTAGGCTTTCATCTACAATTCATTTAACATACAAAAGGAGTCTCTGAGGGGTGGTTTATTTTCATTTTCAGAAAAGTTGACATCTTTGAAACTCTGTCTAATGCCTCAGTAGAGAAAATAGCCCATTTCTGCAGAATAGAGAGGTTCCACTTTGGGCAGGTGATTACCAGCGACATCGGGGAATCCTCTAGCATCTCTTTTATTATAAAGGTGAGATCTGTTTGTATTTGTGCTTGCCAGTGAACTTTGCTTTCCCTTTCATAAGCGGAGAGAGAATCACACACACACACACACACACACACACATTCTGAAATACACCTGAAATTAGAACAAGATTGGGGGGCATTTTGGCATGGGGGGGTGAGGCAAAAAAATCCTGCCCTTACACTGTTCTGAACAATGAATGCACAGGTCCTGGCATGACGGGGAAGTGCTTTTGTATTTGTTTTTTAACCGTACAAAAACCATACACTTAATTTTATTAATTAAAATATGTACAATTTTTTTTTTTGCTACTAACCTTTCTGAGATTAGGCATGGTGTAGGGGGCAGATTAGGATCTGGGAGACACAAATTCAAATCTCCACTTTGCGGTGGAAGCTCCTTGGGTGGCCTTAGACCGAACTCTCTGTCGGACTAACTTACCTCACAGGGATAGGGTTGCCAGCCCCCCACTGGGGGCAGGGGTTTACCTGATTTAAGCTCCCTACCCCCGCTTTTTCGGAATCGGCTAGCTGGGGACAAAATGGCGGCCAGGTTGTGACACTCTAGCATTCGTCTCTATGGAAGCCATAGAGACGAAGGCTAGTGTGCCAGGGAGTTTGTTGCGAGGATAAAATGGAGGCGGGGAAATGATGCTATAAGCCACTTTGGGGGCCCATTGGGGAGAAAAGTGGGATATAAATGATAAACAAACAAACCAAAGTCCTCTTTGAGATTACCTTTATACAAAAAAAGCCCCTTATGCATATGATAGGCTACCCGTATGTAGGTTCTGAATTGAATGCTGTAGTGGGTAGAGTGTCAAAGTAGGATGTGGGATTCTCAGTTTTGAAGCCCACTCTGCCATCAAAGCTCACTTGGTGACCTTGGATCTCTCGCCCTACCTCACAGGGTTGTTGTAAGGATAAAAACACAGAAGGCTAGAATGATGTCTTAAGCCAATTTGGGTACAAAATGGTATAAATGTATCTAAATAAATAAAATTTCTGCCTGCTGGTCTACTTGGCAGCACAGTTTCCACAATATCAACACAGCTTAATTTCGTCTTAACAGGGGGCCTGTGATGTTTTACGACAGGTCGATCTCAGCAACTGCCCATCCTATCACAAGTGGCTCGCAAAACAACTGCACCTTCCTAAGAGCAAACAACAAGTTAAGGAGAAAAAATGTCAGGATTATGGTAGGTTAAGTCTGAGTTTGGATACACCGGGCATTTGCCAGCTTGGTTACTAAAACCATGTTGGGCGATAGTGGATCTTCCTCACCACAGTCAACTGTTTGCTATGCTGGTTTCTCTGGAAGCAACTTTAAAATAGGCAACATCCGACTTTTCCTCCTTCTCATTTCCCTTGCTTGTGTGTTCCTGTTGCTTTGGTGTGTCCCCCCCCCCTGTTTTGCACGCGTTTTGCTCACTCTAGTGGTTGATTCAATCTTCTGTCACTTTATGTCCGGCATAAAAATCTGCAGTTTAAATCTGCAAAAGGATGTGCTGGAGGCAAAGCAATGGAATATTGAATTGACCACTAGAGGGAGCAAAACATATGTAGAACAGGAAAAATATATTTAAAAACAATATGTTCATTTTAAAAGGCATCCTGTTAAACAGAGCCTCTGCCTGAAATGTTGAATAGTTACTATTAGTTATGCATGACCTCGCTCCCTGACAATTGGTGGTTGTCTCTGCCTCCTGTGGCAGCCATTTTAAAATTGTGCCCACCAGCCTGTGTCAGAATTCTGAAGGTCCCTGCAGGTTCAAAGAGGTTGGGGACCCCTGAGCATCTCGGGGTCATCCTCCAGTGTAAATATATGCCATTCTGGGTCAACAATGCTTTTCCTCTGATTACAGCAGACAATCTGGACAGTCCCTACGCAAAAGTATAAACGGACACAAATTTGACATGGAAAAGTCATACTGCTCAGAAACCAGTAGGGAAACATTTTAATTCAACCCCTGTTTAATTATGAAAGGATCGTTTTCTCTTTGATTGGCCTGTGTTTCAAACTGGCTTCCCTCTCTAAAATCTCACCCCTCCTGCTTGTCTGTTGCTTGCAACTTTAAGTATAAATCAATCTGGTGAAGCATGCTGTGGCTCCTGAAAACTCCTGCTCAATTAAATTTTCAAGTACCACCAATTATCTTCTTATTTATCATTTTCAAACTACACAGAAGAATACAGAACTGGAAAAAAGGTTTCCCTGTTTATCCGTTGTTAACACTTTGAATCTCCCTCCCTTGCTAAAGTTGGCTTTTATAGGGAACACTCTGTCTTGGTTGGTTATCAGTGGTCATTTGTATTTGTTTGTACTTATTTCCCACCTCTCACAACAAAGGATGCCAACCTCCAGGTGAGATCCTGGGGATCCTGGAATTACAGCTCGTCTCCAGACTAGAAAGATCAGTTCCACCAGAGAAAATGGATGCTTTGCAAGGTGGACTCTATGGGCACTGCACCCCACTGAGGTCCCTGTCCTCCCCAGGCTCCTCCCCCAAATCTCCAGGACTTTCCCAACCTGGATCTGGCAACCCTACTCCCCCATCCCCCACTGGTGGCCAGGGGGAACCTGGCAACCCTAGCTCAAAGGCCACAAAGTTTTAAGCAAAATATTGACAGTAGTAGATTCGAATGGGTAGCCGTGTTGGTTTGAAGCAGCAGAACAAAGTTTGAATCCAGTGGTACCTTTAAGACCAACAACATTTTATTCAAGGTATAAGCCAGGGGTGGCCAAACTGTGGCTTGGGAGCCACATGCGGCTCTTTCGCACATATTGTGCGGCTCCCAGCAGGGTAGCTGGGGAAGCGAAGGGGAGGCATACTTTTTCTCCCTTCCTCCCTTCCTTCCTCCTCCCTCCCATCTATTTGCTTTCTTGGTTCTCTGGCTCTCTCTCTTTCTCTCTTTCTTTCCACCTCTTTAATTCTTTCTTTTCACCTCTCTCTCTTTTTCTCTTTCTCTTTCTCTTAGACAAATACATATAATTAGCAAGGAAATATCATTGGACAAATATATATTATTAGTAATATCGGTTTTTACCCCTTCTGTTTTTATTTTTGGCAGTCTCATTTAATGTTAATAAAAAGCAAATGTGCATATTTTAAAATAAAAACATGTGTGTAATATTTGCTCATGTCTTGTGGCTCTCAAGCATCTGATGTTTATTCTAGGCGGCTCTTACACTGAGCAAGTTTGGCCACCCCTAAGCTTTCGTGTGCAAGCACACTTCTCCAGATGCAATGAAATACTAAATGAAAAAGATACAACTGCATCTGAAGAAGTGTGCATGAACATGGAAGCTTATCCCTTGAATAAAACTTTGTTGATCTTCAAGGTGCCAACTGAGAGTAGTAGACAGGCGCACCTGCCATAAAGAGAAAGAGGCTAATTTTTAAAACTATGCTTAGTTTCAGATATTGTTTACGTGGACAGATTCAAAAGCACCAGATGGAGCTCCTTCTCTGGACACGAGCTGAGCCAACTCAAAGCCCGCTACGCTCGCCAGCCGTTACACCGAGACGCTGGGAAACAAAGTTCTGTGTTCAGCAGGCCCTGTAAAAGCGTTGTGATAAAAGTGGATACCGCTGACAGCAGGTGAGGGGGGGTGGAGTTGAGTTGGCTTTCCAGGATGTACTGCGAGCAGCGGGGATATGAAGGACACCCACAAAGGTTGCCTTTGGAGGTCTTTCAACCCACCTGGGGCCGAGGGCATGGAGAGGGAGACTGGCAGCTGGCAGCCCTGCTTGGGCATTTCTGCCAATGGATTTTGCTAGGCCCGTGTTTCCCAGCCCTTGGGCCACGAAGCCTCTGAATGTTGTTCGGGGGCAGCACTCCCTAATGGGTGCCTTTTCCTTTTCTATTGCTCTCTTTTCTTATTTTGGATCTGATGCCCTGGAAACAGCCTCTCCCATGTCACACATTAGCTGGCATTTTGGTCTTTGCTGCATATACCTGCTGATCAAGGAAAATGTGCCCTGATGGTTACTAGAGTGAGTTTCTTAGAATCTTAGGGTGGGTATTAGACCGTGTCAAGGAGAAGGAGAGGGTGGTGAAAGGCTGGAATGGAACCTCCATGTGCAAAGGCAGTGTCATGTCGAAAGGCCGCTGGCTTGGGGTTCATAGTGGGGGCAGCTGTGTCCTTCGTGCAATGTTTGTTGGTTTCTCAAAAAACCAAAACCAAACCCACAACCAAATACATCTGGTTAGCCACTGTAGAAAATAGAATGCTGAACTGAGAATTTAGATCCTCAGTCAAGAAAGCTACAAAACAGAGTTATACAGACGATGGATACTGGAGAAGCATTTGAGTTAGAGGGAACTCCCACACAAGCCAAATAGTAAAAGGAATTATTGCTTCTTAGGGACAAGGAGAACAACTTCCTGCCAATGAAAGGGGTTGGGAAGAGAACCCTGTTCTGTGATAAAGGGGAGAAGCTTAAACACCTCAGGAGTTAGTGAAAAGCTGTAATATTGGAAAGAGCCAGTTTGGAGAGAGCCAATTGGGTGTAGTGGTTAAGAGTGTGGACTCTTCTCTGGGAGAACCGGGTTTGATGCCCCACTCCTCCACATGCAGCTAAAGGCTGTTATAAAATTAATCCGCCTCAAGTACCATTTCACAAGGATTTATAGAACAGAACAGCTCCTGTATTTCCCTTAAGTTCCTGTACTGGATCTAAAGCCTGAACCAATATCTGTGACAGGGTGGGATAATTTAAGCTTATCAAACAAAGAAGAATTGCACACTACTGGAGGATGACTCCGTCACTGAGGGGAACTAAAATATTTTTAGTTTGGTGTAGTGGTTAAGTACGCGGACTCTAATCTGGGAGAGCCAGGTTTGATTCCCCACTCCTCCACTTGAACGTGGCTGGATGACCTTGGGCAAAACATAGTTCTGTCCAGAGGTCATTTCGGGGGGGATCGCGAGGGATCGCAGTTCCCCTGGGTGAGGTACGGGGGGCAGGGCACATGACGAAGCCCCGCCCCCTGCTTCCGGCCACCCCGCTTCCGGCCCTCGTTCAGCCAGGAGGAGGCAGGAGAATAGGGAGGGTAAGTTGCTTCCTCCCTGCCTCTCCCCACCCCTGCCTGCCTGGCGCCAGGGAGGGCCTTCGCGGGGCTTCCTTGCACTCCCGCCGACCTTGCAGGTCCACCGCCGGGCCCCTCATGGGACTGTTGGGGGTATATGATACACTTCCGGTGATGTCAGGGGGTGTGGCATATGCTAATGAGTTATGCTAATGAGTTCCCCTAGCTCTTTTTCTACGAAACAACCCCTGGTTCTGTCAGAGGTATTCTTGAAAAAGAGCAGTTTCTGTCAGAGCTCCCTCAGCCCCACCTACCTCACAGGGTGTCTGTTGTGGGGAGGGGAAGGGAAAGGAGTTTGTAAGCCACTCTGAGACTCCTTTGGGTAGCGAAGGGCGGGGTATAAATCCAATCTTCTCTTCTTCTTCTTCTTCTTCTTCTTCTTCTTCTTTTGGCGGGAAATTCAGCCTGGGTTTTGGGAAAGAGACTGGGGTCTGCCATAGCAGGGCTCCTCTAATTTTAACTTTGACGCTGTGCTATGTTTTTACGCACTTTATCATTACATCATTATTCTACCCTTCCATCAAGAATCTCAGGGTCGCATACGTTGTCCTCACTATTGATTTATTTATTCACTTCCTCCATACCCTGCCTTTCTTCTCAATGGGGACCCAAAACAATATACATCATTCTCTTCTTCCTCCAGTTTATTCTCACAACAACCCTCTGATGTAGGTTATTTTATTTTATTTATGTTCTGTATAGTCCACTGTTCTCACTTGTACTCGAGGCAGATTGCACACAGAGTGAGTCAATGCAATCGATGGATGAGACAACATTCCATGAGCAATGAAATAGGATTTGGGTTGTAGAACCAACCAGAAGTCTAACAACAGAACCGAAGCAAAGCATAAAAATTAACATAATGCATCGCAATACACTTTCAGACATGCTAAATAATGCTGTTTCAATCCATGTCAGCGACCGTTTGCAAGTGGATTTTGCCATTTCACACAGTAAAATCCAGTTGCAAAGTGCACTGAAAGTGGATTGAAAGTGTCAGTCTGTGTGAAAGCATTAAAATGATACAAAATTCCATAGCAACACCCTGATTAGTAGCACCCTAAAGAGATCAAGTTTGGTGTAGTGGTTAAGGGCGGGGGACTCTAATCTGGAGAACTGGGTTTGATTCCGCAATCCTTCACATGCAGTCTGCTGGGTGACCTTGGGTCAGTCACAGTTCTCTCAGAGCTCTCTCAGCCCCACCTACCTCACAGAGTGTCTGTTGTGGGGAGAGGAAGGGAAGGCGATTGTAAGCTGCTCTGAGTGAAGGGCAGGGTATAAATCTAAAATCTCCTCCTCCTCCTCCTAATTTTCCTAAGTAACCCTGTGAATCATTTAGTACAGTGCAAGTCTATTGCCTATGCAGAAAGCCCTCTTGAATAATCTAGTTTTGCATAGTTTGTGTAAAGCCAGGAGAGGGGGAGCCTTCCTGCCCTCAGTGCGTGACTGGCCCAGGGTTACCCAGCATGCTTCCGGAGAAGAGTGGGAATTAGATCCTGCCCTGACACTCTAGCCACCAAACCACGCTGGCTGTCACAACAACACTGTAATGTAGGCTAAGAGCAGCTCAAGGTCACCCAGTCTCCTTCACGGAGAACTGAATCCACATCTTCTCAGTCCTAGTCCATCCCTTTAAGCTCTACACCACACTGGTTTATGGGCATGATAAATATTATTAAAAGTTGTATAGAAGAAGCGAGACTTGAAGGCACAACTGTTCTGATGCCTGCATAAGAAGAGCTCCCCCCACCCCGAACTCCCTGTTCGGCACAACTCCTTGAACTACATGAGTTTGGGCTTTCTCTGCACCTGATTACCCTCTCAGTGAGGACTATGGGGAAAGCTATTCCACGCCATCAAGGAAAATGAAGCTAGAACCTGTCTCCTCCCCAAGTGCCTTGATCCAACAAATGCTCTGTGAAGAGGTCCTAGATCAGGGGTGCCAAACATGCAGCCCACAGGCCGGATCAGGCCTCCCCCAGAGGTATTCTATCAGGTCCACAGTGGAATTGGCTGTCTCCTGCTTCTTCTAGCTCTGCTGCTGCATCATAGCTTGCTTTGCCAGACTCTCTCAATCGCTCAGGAGAGATAGATAGGCAAGCTTCTGTTCCCTGCACGGGCTGAGGTTCCTCCCACTCCCAGGCAGAGGGAGGGAATGAGACAGAGCTTGCTTTCTGTCCAGACTGCCACAATTGCACAGGAAAGAAAAGCAAGCCTTTTCCCCTCCATTGTCTGAGGCTCCTCCCTGAAGGGAGGGAGGGAAAGAAGGAGAGCTTGCTTTGCTTGGCTGCCTCAATCTTACGGAAGAAATACAAAGCATCTTTAAGAACAATAGTTTTATCCAAGATATGAGCTTTTGTGTGCCTTGCTACAGAGTTTGTGTTCTGTTGGGCTTGTTATTCTGTGGCTCTCCTGGGTGCAACTGGGTTCCCTCTCCCTTTTCACTCTATTCATGCCCTCATTATTCAATCTTTCTCAGTAGGAAAGCCATGTAAACTATTTAAATGAGGAACAACAACAAGCCAGTGAGGTGGATTAGGTTGTGTGCGTCCAGACCAAGTTCACCCAGCACATTTCCTTTGAGGATTTTGGAAGCTAAGCGGGGTCCACCCTGAATAGTATTTGGATGGAGACTACAACAAAATACCAGAGTTGCTATGCAGAGGCAGGCAATGGCAATGGCACCTTTGAATGTCTCTTGCTTTGAAAACCATATGGGGTCGCTTAAGTCAGCTGCTGCTTGATGGCAAAAAAAAAAAAAGAACCAGACTTACTAGTCCCCCAGTTAAGGTGGGGCATTCCCTGTCCTCCGGTCCTGTTGCCCACTTCCACTTGGCAAGGAGGAAAAAGACCTGGCACCATCAGTTGCTTCGTTACCTCACTTCTGGGGGAAACCTGGAAGTGACAGTGGGTAGCTCTAGGAATTGCCAGAAACTCCATGGTTTTTACCATGTCCCCGCCCCTAAACTTCCTGGCAACTCTAGTAAATTGTTGAAAAGCAAGTAATTTCCAACACTCATTTTGGCACAGAAACGAAACAACGTGAGCCTGAATGGGTAAAAGAAAGGCTTTAACTCTAAATCCATTCTCTTCTGAATTCTAGTTCATTCTTCAGGCTGCCGGATGATGACAGAGACGTCGTACAAACCGTTATATCTGGAGTTGGGAGAAATAAATCGGTACACTGTACACCCTATGGACAGATACCAGCTTCTACTGCTGCGGCTGTGTATATCAGAGTGGATGAACTGTATAAAGGGGATTATTTAGTAAGTGTATTCCAGGCCTCTGGCCAGACTTTTTGTGCCTGTGTTAGGGTGAAGCTGGGTCCTGGAGTTGTCCTGGAATTATAACAGATCTCCAGATGACAAAGATCATTTACCGGAGAAAATGGCAGCATTGGTGGTATGAAATTACATTCCCCCTGAACCCCTTCCCTTCCCTTCCCTAAGCACTACCCCCAAATCTCCAGGAATTAGCTAAAATGGTGTAAGCGACCTGTGTGTGTGTGCCACCGCATATGCAATAACGTACAATTTTTTTAACATTTTTATATCGCATCCTCTCCTGTATGGTCTTGGAGCAGTCACAATGTATTTATCAGTGTGATACGGCAGCTGTGAATCTGTCAGTGTAAAGCAGCAAAAATCTAAACATAGAATCCCAGAATCCCAGAGTTGGAAGGGGCCATCTAGTCCAACCCCCTGCTCAATGCAGGATCAGCCTAGAGCATCCCTGACAAGTGTTTGTCCAACCGCTGCTTCAAGACAGCCAGTGAGGGGGAGCTCACCACCTCCCTGGGCAGCCGATTCCACTGTTGCACAACTCTGACTGTCAAAAAGTTTTTCCTGATATTCAGTGAGTACCTTCCCGCCCTTAATTTAAACCCATTATTGCAAGTCCTGTCCTCTGCTGCCCACAGGAACAACTCCCTGCCCTCTTCTCAATGACACCCCTTCAGATACTTCAAGAGAGCCATCCTGTCTCCCCTCAGTCTCCTCTTCTCCAGACTGAACGTTCCCAAGCCCCTCAGCCTTTCCTCTCCTCCTAGGGCTCAGTCTCCAGACCCACGATCATCCCCGTCGCTCTCCTCTGCACCCGCTCCATTCTGTCCACATCCTTTTTGAAGTGAGGCCTCCAGAACTGCACACACAATACTCCAGTCTAATACTTTTCCTAAAAACCAGTCTAATTCATTTCCATAGAACGACATAGTTTATTACACGATTTAATAGCTGTGGGAAGGCGGGTTCATGGAAATCCGCCATGTAGGGCTGCCAACCTCCAGGTGGGGCCTGGAGATCCCCCAGAGTTACAATCGATCTCCAGATGACAGAGATCACTTCCCCTGTATAAAATGCTTTGGAGGGTGGACACACCATGGCATTGTGCCCTTGCTGAGGGCCCTCTTCTCCCCAAACCCCGCCGTCTCCAGGCTTCAGCCCCAGATCGCCAGGATTCTTCCAACCCTAGGGGCCCCCCCCCCAATGCTCAGCCAGACTAGAAGTAAACATGGCCAGGCTGGAAATAGTGTGGCACTGCTCTTGGAGTTTCCAGCAATTCCTAGAGAGGTAAGACATCACTGCAGGGTTTTCCTGTCACCAAAAGCGCCCCCCTCATGTCGCTCTTTGGCCCGGTTCTCTACTGACTCTGTGGCTTATGGAGAGCCACATTTGCAATTACCTTCCACAAAAACAGCCACATTTACTCCCATCCTTAGCATGAAGTCTGTACCACAGGGAGGCTCACAGCTTACCTGTTCCTCTGGCAGCTGTTTCAAGGTGGGAACCACCTGCCAACTACAAGCCCCACTATGCGAGGACCTTGCCCACTTTCTTGAAACATTGGGGCACAGCGCTCAGGTGCCACATTGGGGAACAGTGCACAGAAGAGGCACATGTGGCTCCCGAGCCACTGAATATCACTGTTGATGAGCTCTTCCATGTTCTCATTTTCCTCGCTTACGTGTTCCTGTTGTTTTGGGTGAGTTTTCCCCCTAGTGGTCAATTTGATATTACATCGTTTTATGTCCAGCATAAAAATCCAGGAAGATACAGAATCGTAGAGTTGGAAGGGACCTCTAGGGTCATCTAGTCCAACCCCCTGCACAATACAGGAAATTCATAAATACCTCCCCTTCCACACCCGCAGTGACCGCCGTTCCACCCCCAGAAGATGACCAAAACCCTCCAGGATCCCTGGCCAAACTGGCCTGGAGAAAAATTGCTTCCTGACTCCAAAGTGGTCAGGACAGAAAACAATGTAATATCAAATTGACCACTAGAGGGAGCAAAACACATGCAGGACAGACCCCCCCCCCCCCCCGCCGCTGCCAAAGCAACAGGAACAGGAAAGCCATGAAAATGAGACTGCAGAAAAGTCTTATGTCACGATAGATAAGTTCAGATTCAGTCCTAAACCGCATGACTGGGTGTCCCTCCCTATCCAACTGCAGACTTCTTTGCCTCCCCACCCCAATAATTCCTGTTGGCTCTAAACCAGGGGTGGCCAAACTTGCTTAACGTAAGAGCCACATAGAATAAACGTCAGATGTTTGAGAACCGCAAGACATGAGCAAATATTACACACGTTACTGAAAAATATGCCGATTTGCTTTTTATTAACATTACATGAGACTGCCAAAAATAAAAACAAGAGGGGTAAATACAGATATTGATAATGGTATCTATTTATCCAATGATATTTGTAGGTGGGGGTGTGTGCTTTGAGAACGCATTTAAAGTTAAAGTTGCTGTCTTTCTCTGCTCCCCCCCACCTCAAGCCTACCCGGGGAGGGGAACACTGTCTGGGGAAGGGAAGACCGATCCGGGAGGCATGCCTCCCCTTCGTTCCCCCAGCCGCCCTGCCAGGAGCCGCACAATATATGTGAAAGAGCCACGTGTGGCCCCTCCCCCCCGAGCTGCAGTTTGGCCACCCCTGCTCTAAACAGTAGGGAGTGGGACCTCATGCTGTACTGAAGGAGACATACTGTTTGCTCTGCCCCTTTAGGTAAATCTGCAAGATAACCGTCCCATGATCTTGGTCAGCAAAGGGGCGGACTTCATCCGTCTGAAAAAAGACAAGCTTGAGGAATGTGCGGACGATGCCACCATCATGAAATTATGCAAAATCAAGGTCAAGTATCCCAGGTAAGTACAACAAATTGGTTCTGGCTGAACGGCTGTCGAAGAAACAGAAACAGGGCCTTATCCTCAGTTTTGGGCTCCCCTTTTCAGTGACGACGAGCTATGTCAGGTCTTCCTCCGACAGAACTCCTGGGACTTCTTTAAGAAAGATCTGCTGCAGTTTGTGCTGAAGCCCAAGCTCATGAGGATGGTATTGCCTCCAGATGCATGCCCCGCCAAAGAAATTGCAGGATCTTGGTACATGAATGAAAAAGGTATCTTGGACCTGACTCCCTTGCAGCGCCATGAAAAACTTCCACCGGAAACGTGCAAATATGTGGCTTGTCACCCAAAATGCGCAAGCGATGCCAGGTTCTTACCAGAGATCCAGCCAAGACTGATTCATGGCATCAACATAATACGTCCTTCTTTGGATGGAGTGTTTTAGTGAGTTATGAGAGTTTAGATATGCAAATCTGCAACATGGGGAGAGTTGTTCTGGCAGTCTGTGTGTATGTGTGTGCTTATTTATGCATATCCATAGACACAGACTTCTTGTTAGATGTACAACTTTTCTTTCTATCTATTAGAAAGAGCCCCATTCATGGAAGACTTCCGTTTTCCATTGAAGTTGGTTGTGAATCCTAAAGTCTGTTTAATTTCCCTCTGTTGTTATAGGTATTCTTTTTTCCCCCTTCAAGATGGTGTCTCTCTCTGTATAAATTGATATAAATAAGTTATATTTTTTAAAACCTGAAAACGCTTCTACATTTTTCTTGCACAATAAAATATGTCAGAGTGATTTTAAAACTTTTAAGGCCAGCAAGTCCTTGGAAGCGATCTCCAGTTCAGTGCCATCCTAAGCAGATTTGCCCCCTTCTTAAATCCATGGAAGTCACTGGTCTTGGAAGGGTGTAACTCAGTTCAGGATGGCACTGCTACTCGGGCTGTTTATCTAGGGGCTGATCCACAGAAGAAAAATCACCGCCTCACAAACACCGTCTGAAATCAACCTACATTTCCCACATTATTATTATTTTTAATGTATTTATTGGGTTTTCAATATGCTACACACAAACATCACATACATTCTCAAAAACAATACAGAGAGATGTAAAAGTGAGAGATGTAAAAGTGATTGCACCGCTTGGGAACAGTGATCATACTGTTGTTGAGTTCAACATTTGTACAAATAGAGAATTGGCCAAAAAGACTCACACAACCATTTTTAACTTTAAAAGGGGTAATTTCTCTGATATGAGGGGACATGTGGGGAGGAAACTGAAAGGAAAAGTAGAAAGGGTCAAAACCATTGAGCTATTTAACAGTTTCCCATAGCTGTATGAGAACTCTTCCATCTGCTGTCAGAAAACCAAGGAAATCACAGGAGAGTGAAAAATGATGGCCAATCTACAATTACCCTGGCCTAGCGATACAAGATAGATTCAGGTGGGTAGCCGTGTTGGTCTGAAGCCACAGAACAAAGCTTGAGCACAGTATGCGAATGTGCTGCTATTCACAGGTTTTGCCAACTGCTTTAATCCCGTCTTCGTAGGGTTTCCAGCTCTGGGTTGGGGAATACCTGGAGATTTTGGGAATGGAGCCTGAGGAGGGCGGGGTTTGGGGCATAATGCCAGAGAGTCCACCTTCCAAAGTGGCCATTTACTCCCAGTGAACTGATCTCTGTCACCTGGAGATTGGCTGTTGACAACCCTACATCTTTGCTATACTTCTCACCCAGTTACTTATGCATCTGGACTCTAACTAGCCCTTCCTGGCAACTAACCCCCCCCACCTATATGTAATGGTTGAGGACGTCTGTTTCAATGTTTCTGAAGAAGTGTGCCTGCACACAAAAGCTTATACCCAGAATTAAACTTTGTTGGTCTTAAAGGGGCCACTGGACTCAGACTTTGCCCTAACAATACAAGTATATGTTCAAATTAGCATTGGCTTTTGGGCCTGCTGACATTGAAACCCGTCTTGCCCGATGCATTTCCGCATCAGTTATGCAGATATGCTCTGCGACTAGTGTTTAAACATTTGGAAATATTTAGAGCGGTGGCATTTTCTCCTATTTCTTGCCTTCTCTGGCTCTACTCTGGTTAAAAAAAAAAAGGCTATCGTTTTTGTCTGTGTCTTGCGTATGTGTGTGCCGCCTATTTGTCAACAGGATATAATACTCTTTTGTTTTGTGACATTTTAATCGCTTACGCAGCCACCTTTCTAAGTCAAAAGGCTGGGGAGGCACATGAAATGCGTGACGGCTGAAATCCGGTCAGAGTCGATTAAGTCCTCAGCAGTGTGAGCTTTAGAAGTAAATCCCACCGACCTCAATGGGACTTCCTCCCCAGTAAGGATTGTGCCCTTCAGGTCCTGGGAAAAAAAACAAGACTATAAATAAATAGGCAAATGTGACCAAGAAGCCAACTAGGGTTGGCAACTCCAAGTTGGGAAATTCCTGGAGATTTGGTGGTGGATCCTGGGAACGGTGGCGTTTTGGGAGGGAGGGAGAGAACTCAGTGGTCCCGCTTGCAGGGGAGGGCGGGATAAAATTCCCCTAATTAATTAATTACTTTGGCCACCAAATGAGAAGGGAGCACTCACTGGAGAAGACCCTGATGCTGGGAAAAATTGAAGGTCAAAGAAGAAGGGGACGGCAAAGGATGAGATGGTTAGACAGTGTTATCGAGGAAACGTACATGACATTGAGCAAACTCCGGAGCACGATGGAAGACAGGAGGGTCTGGCGTGATGTGGTCCACGGGGTCGAGAAGAGTCGGGCTTGACTATGCCAGTGAACAACAACAATTAATTAATCAATTAATTAATTAATGTCCTAGAGCCCACCCTCCGAAGCAGCCATTTTCTCCAGGGCAAGTGATGCCAGTAGTTTTGGAGATGAGTTGTCATTCCAAGAGATGATGATGAAGAAGAAGAGATTGGATTTATACCCCACCCTTCATTCGGAGTCTCAGAGTGGCTTACAATCTCCTTTCCCTTCCCCTCCCCGCAACAGACACCCTGTGAGGTAGGTGGGGCTGAGAGAGCTCTTTCAAGGACTCCGAGAGAACTTGTGACTGACCCAAGGTCACACCAGCAGCTGCATGTGGAGGAGTGGGGAGTCAAACTCAGTTCTCCCAGAATAGAGTCCGCGCTCCTAACCACTACACCAAACTGGCCCCACCTGGAGGTTGGCAAGCCTACATGAACCCATTTTGGGCTCCGTGAGAACTCCACTCCTTTGCGCTATTTATCCAACAGAGGAAGAAACATCGCTGTGTGCTATAGAAACACAGCTGGGAAGCGACCCACAAATACACAGTCCTGGACAGCAATTATTGGTGGAAGAGCCCAAATCCGAGCAAAGGCTGGTTTTTTTTCCCTACTGTCAAGTCAGGGTGGGGAAATTTCTGGAGATTTGGGGGTATTGCCTGGGGAGGGGCCTCAGCAGGATATAAGACCATTGAATCCATCCTCCAAAGCAGCCATTTTCTCCAGTGGAACCTGGGTTGCCACGTCTGGGTTGGGAAATACCTGGAGATTTGGGGGTGGATCCTGGGGAAAGTGGGGTTTGGGGAGGGGAGGGACCCCAGCATGGTACAATGCCACAGAGGCCACCCTGCAAAGCAGCCATTTTCTCCAGGGGAATGGATATTGGTCATCTGGAGTTCAACTGTAATAGCGGGAGATCTCCAGGCCCTGCCTGGAGGCTGGCAACCCTTGTTCTTTTGCTTTCGGGTCGACAGCGGGGGTACAGCTGTGACTTTCTGGGAGTAGGTCTGCAATTCGGATCTGGGGCTTCCAGAAACCTATCACTGTTATATGGTCTTGGGTAGGATGAAGTGTTTGTCCTTCAACAAAGCGCAAGATGTCCATTCAGGCAATAGGAAGAAAAGCCAAGACCGGAAGTGGGCCAGCGTGGTCCAATTTACTCCTTTTAAGGGTGATATCATTATTCTACTGTTTTAATAAGCATAGCGTCAGCCGCTTTGTCAATGCAGAGGCCAAAGACCTTTGTAGGATGGGTTCGGCCTGCCCTGGCCAAATCTGCATACTTAAGGTGAACAGTTAACCACAAATGTGCTTCGCAAATGAGTAATCCAGTTCATAGACTCAGCAATACCATTGGCTTGTTTACGAAGGAAGAAATCTTTATATTCTTTATATTCTTTTCAGCTGTTCCGTTCTGATAATCTATCCACACATGGGGGGGAGCACAGTACACGCGGTCTTCCCTTTATGTGCAGCCAATGCACATTTTGATATGCACGACTGGGCCCTGGATTTTTCAGGGTATGCAACATACTGGCCGAGTTCAGACTGGCAGTTTGGCCCGATATAGGCACTTTTCACAAACGCATTAAAGGGGCCGTTCACACAGGCACATCTGTCCGGCGTTCCCCAGCCGTACTCAACCCGTCTCGTAACACTTCCCTCCCAAGTTTAAAAGATACCAGGTAAAAGTCCTGAAGCCTCGCCGACAAGCAACCGTTCAGAAAATGACTGAGCCAAGCCAGAAGACGTTTACACCGTGCAGTGACAGCGTGTGCAATTAAATGAATATATGTTGTCTTCCCTATCCCCTGGAGGATATAGTGGACACTGTTAGTCCCCTGTTAACTGTACATTGCTTTGAGCCCACTGGGGAAAGCGATTAATAAATTGAAATTATTATTATTATTATTATTATTATTATTATTATTATCCCCTCTGCTGTCAGCTCCTGATTTTTTGATAGGTGTTGATTGGCGGCGGTGCTTTGAAGGAACTGGCGGGATCTCCGCGCCCGTCCCCTCTGGGCATGCGTGTTGGGGTTCCTGCGCATGCTCAGTGGGACTCGCGCGAAAATCCTTTGAAACATAGCTTGCTACGGCACCGGTTGGGTCAGTGCAGGCGCACTAAACCCATTGGTGTGAATGCACAGATGACCACTCGAAGATCACCAGTTACTGGTAAGCAACCTGTTTTTCTTATGACGTGGCTTTCTATTTGGTAATTGAGATATGCTCTTATGCGCATATGCCAGGGCTCTTTTTGTAGAAAAAGCCCAGCAGGAACTCATTAGCATAATAGGCCACACCCAACAGCAGGAACTCATTAGCATATTGGGCCACACCCCCGACAGCACAGCTCATTAGCACATTAGGTCGCACCCCCATGTTACCAGAAGTGTGGTCATCCAGCCACACCCACCTTTTGCTTGTTATTCTGTTTACCTTGTTTGTTGTCAAAACCCAGGGCCTTTTTTTGTAGCAGGAACTCCTTTGCATGTTAGGCCACACACCCCTAATGTAGCCAATCCTAATGAGTTCCTGCTGTTGGGTGTGGCCTGTTATGCTAATGAGTTCCTCCTGGGCGTGGCCAACTTGGGAGCCAGCCGGAGCTCCGTTCCTGTGCGTTCCTGCCCAAAAATAGCCCTGCGCATATCTCAATTACCAAATAGAA